TCCATTCTCCTGTTCTTCCTCTTCTTCCTCTTCTACTTCTTCATCTTCTTCTTCTTCTTCCCTTTTCTGCTCTTCTTCAATTTCATCGTTCTTTTGTACATCAACTCGTTCTTCTATTTCCATATCTTCTTCTTTCTTATATTTTTCTGTTTCTATTTTATTTCCAATTGTATCTTGCACTTCTTTTTCATATTTCCCTATTTTAAAAATTGTTTGGTTTTTCAATATTATCTTTTCTTCTTTTTTCAGAAGAAATTAATTTAAATTGATTTTAAACAAAGATAACCTCTAAACACCAAAAAAAGTACATGATTAATCAATATATAGAATTTGCAAATAAAATGTGATTATAAAATTTTTTAATGTTTATTTGAAAGTACGATAGTAATAATTTCTTCATTACTTTTAAACATTTTATATGTTTCTTTAAAATAGAGTAATATTTCTGCGATCAATTCATATATTTTTTTCATGTATTTTTTATATAAATGTTATAGTATTGTAAATTATATTAAAATATAAAAATGTGCAAGTTAAACACAGAATTTAAATTTAGCAGATGAAATAATATTATTAATAAAAATAGTATAATCTTCAGAAACTAAATCAGAAGTATATCTAAATGCAATAAATATAAAATTTGTAAAACATGTGTTACAAAATTTACCATTATTCCATCGTTTCACAAGGACAAAATGTGCAGTGACAATAAGTGCCACACCAACTCCAAACTTCATTGCCACTGTAATCATCAGATGTTATTTTTCATTGAAACTTAAAAAATATAATGAAAAATAAAAGAAGATTCTAAAACTATTAAACTTATTCTATATTTACTTTATATTTGTCAAAATATGAGAGCATGGAGGATCATTTCACAATATGAAAAGATTGTAATTCAATTTTAGTATATAGTGACATTTCACTCACCACCAGCAGATTCTTCTTCTATTTCTTCTATTTCTGGCTTTACATCTACATCATTAACATATTCTTCTGGTTCTATGCTTTCTACCTAATATAAAAAAGACAGTGTAATAATGTGTTATTGTTCAAAAAATTGTAGAATTATTCATATAAAAATGTAAAGTAAGTATTCTTTGACTTTCTGTAATGATAAAAAATATTAATATATAATTTTTCTAAGAAATAAATTTTATATCTTACAATTGTTACAATTTTTTTTTCATTTGCTATGGGACGAAAAAAATCATGAAAACTTATACTTTTCTATTTTATATTTAGAAAATAAAAATTAGAAAGATTTAATAATTACAACGAATAAAACATCTTTATATTTAATTGTTTAAAATTTATCTAATTTTTTATGTAAGAGAATATATAACAAATGGTTTTCTATAATTATTACTTTGACAATAATGTCTAATTGATTTTACCTCTTCCAAAGGTTCTATATTATCATCATTAATTTCCTTAACACCAGAAATGTCTAAATATTCTTCAAATATATCTTCGTTTCTTGGCATTTCCAATATTCTATCAAATTGATTATCTACTTCATTTAAAACACTTTTTTCATCTGAGTCTTTTTCTGTACTAATACCATATATTTCTTCTAACACATTAGTCTCATCAAATGTTGAATCATCATCTTCCAATATAATTTGCTGCTGCTTCCTACTTTCGTATTCGTTCTCGTTGCTCAATTCTGTTATTTTATGTTAAATTTAAAATTTATAAAAACATTCTAAAGATACCTTGGTATTAATTACTGTAATTACTGTAATTAATTATTGTATGTTAATGTTTTGTATCATAATACCTTCTTCATCTTCTAAAATATCGCTTTGTTCTTCATTTGATTCATTTTTAATTGTTTCTTTATCTTCTTCCGCATATTCATTCAATGTTTCATCTTCTTGAATTTCTTCTTCATTAGAAGCTTCATTTTCTGTTGTTTCCATTTTTTCATTGTCTTCATCATAGTTCCTTTCATCTTCTACTTGTTCAATGTTTTCATTTTCATTATCGTGTGATTCTTCATTAGATAAAGACAAGGAATCTTCTACCCACCCATCAAAGATAAAAGCCCAGCGAGAAGATTCTAATGGTGTACTAACTTATAACATGAAATTATATAGTGTTGATGCAATATATTAAATATAATGGCACTTACACTAAAATATAGATAAAATATAGATAAAATTTACTTACTGTCTGTAGTGCCTCTATGTTCAATAATAACTACACCAATTAAACCAACAAGCATTGTCAAGACAGCAAAAAATATGATTCGGGCACACCAATGTCCACCTGTAGTACTTTCTTTGTAAATATGTATAGTTACGTTGTCTGTTAAATTTTCACTAACATTTCCCACTACAGGTGATGGTGTAACATTATCTTCTTCATCTAAATATATAGTACAATATATTAAATAATTAAGTGACTATTACTAATATAATGATTATTATAATACAATATAAAAGTTATTTAAGAAAATTGCATGTATAACAAGCACATGTGTGTGTGTGTGTGTGTGTGTGTGTGTGTGTGTGTGTGTGTGTGT